CTCGAAGGAGCTCAGCGCAGGCGCCCGAATACGCCGCAGCTCTTGAATCTTATCCGTCATCATGCCCGGAGAAAAAAGACAATCGTGATCATCTACTTTGATCATAAATCTACTCTCTAGGCTTTCCAAAATTTCCAAAAACGTGGATTGGGAGACCAAGGGAATCGTCATGGAATGAAGAAATTTGGGTGCTGATCTAGCAAGAGCTACTTCAACTGTGGTTAAAAAAATATACTAAGTTTAGTCTCAAATCATCAACCCTTTTTTCGAAGAAAGACGTGCTTACTGTTTGACTTTTGATCCCGCAATAATGCGCTTGGTAGTTGAATCAATCGGTTGATAAGAAGTAGAAGTCCATGCACCTGTTTCATTTTCATTTTCATTTTTTTCCGAAAATAAAAAGAAATGACAGTTGGCAAATCATGAAGACATAGCTGCCCGGATCATCATCACATCGATTGCACATACTTCATTATGACAGTGTGATTTGACAGCTTGATCGAGAAGGTCACAAATCAGACCAGGGACTTGAGAGCAAGGGACAAGACCTGTCATTGCATCAGCGCCGATAGACCTAACCTGTTGAGCAAAATCAAGAGGCAGCAAAAATGATAAGAATAAGCGCGAACAGCATAATAAATGGGAGCATGTATGTGGTCACCTTAGAAACCTTACTGAGTAGACAAGCTCGAACAAGCGGAATGAACTCGGTGGCCGTCAGAGCATCATCCGGGTTTTGAAGGAGGGCCAGAAGAGTCAGGACGGCAAACATGGGGCCATGCGAGTGGCTCGTGGATACCAGATGGATCCCGGCCTCCATAGATCGTCTTAATTCTTGCAACAAGATCGAAGGCATCGTGGGCAATCTTCTAGAGAAATCTGATGTTCCAAAAGAAAAAACATGTTCAATCAATCCGATGGATTCTTCACACTTCAGGCAATTAAACATACCTGATAAGCTTTCCCGTTTGCATAGATTACTGTAAGAGCGATCCAAGGTGAGGGATCGAGTTCCAAAGACGCGATTAGTCAAGCCAGAAAACAAGATCAGAGCGCCATTGCGGACCCTCCAATCGGGCGAGACGAAGGTCTTGATGGCCAGATTGTAGCTCCTTTCGATCAAGACAGAGCTGAATTGAGCCGAGACCTTGCCGTCGGTGAGCAAGATTTTGAGCGTATTAAGAATGTGTACTTGGACTTCAGAGGAGATCTCCTGGCTTTCGGCCAGACTCAAGATCGTACTCAAAGACTCCCTCAACTGATTCGGATTCGACCGTGATAGGGCTTGACATGCTGATAAGATGCAGTACGGCATCCCCGCACTTCGACGGGTCGTAGAAATCTTTCGACTGGTAATAGCAGAAATGTGTGCCTACATATATTCATCAATACTCAAGTCAGCGTGGTAAACATTTCCCAGGGGATTCAGACGTGCCTGGAGCCATAGAACCGGAAGTTGGGAGGATGCCGATTCCTTTGGCAAGGCGCACAGTGCATCACACAACCCGCTATAGGATGCATGGATGGCTCCAAAGGCGCCCCGATGCCTGATCTCCAGTAGCCATTGTTCAAACAACTCCCCAATCTCTGTCAAATCCTGGTAGCTGAGAAATGTATTCCGATTATCGCCAGCGCTCTGCTCCTCAGCAATAAGTGACAGCTTGACAGTTTGCATCAATAATGCGCTGGTGAAGGATAGATAGAAGCACACGAAGGAGATTGTTCAACGACAGTTTAAATGTGGGAAAAAACTTGAATTAGGAATCTCACCTGGCCTCCTTCATGCTTCTCCAACAAGCACTGAGGATCGTTTTGTGTCTATTTCCGGGGTTCCTATCCGCATCATCTTCCAACTCATCGCCATCCTCTTCAGTGGAGATGAATTCGAAAGCGCGAGCCTCTTCGTGGTCAGGCACCACATCACTTTGTCGATCGCTCGACTGACATAAGACGATCGCGCTGGATGACCATACTCGAAGGATTAACTTCCTGGTCCGATTCATGATCACGATCAAGTCGTTTGAAGCGACCAATGAGCCAATCATGTCTTTCGAGAGACACTTGAATAGCTCGCTGTAATGAACAAGAAGAATCAAGTGAGACTCTTGAGTAGATGACTCGTAGTGGCGTAAAAGGTGACCATCGAAGAAAATCGTACAAACCTCATAAGCATAATCGATCCTGCCATGGGTCGCTCTTCACAAGCTTTACCAAGGTTGAGCTCAGATTGGAGGACTCTATCTTCCAAATCATCCAATCTACCAACCAAAAAGATAGCTATTATTTCAAAAAAAAAAAAAGAAGTGAAATCAGAGCTCTATCTCTCCCGCCTTCGCAGAGAAAAAGAAATGTAGTAACAGGTTCGGACCAGAAAAAAAAGGGAAGACCAACCAAGTGGATTAGTAGTTTCAGAGTGATTATTATTGCGAGGAAGTAAGAAAGAAGGGAGCTCGAAGTTATGAATGAGTGAGCTTTTCAAGACGAGACGAAAGAGAAGGGCGGCTGTTGAATTCTCGGCCTCTCTACTAGAATTGCAACACTGAACGGCAAACGGCATGAAACGGATGACCGATTGAGAGCCCTGCTCTGCGGGAGAATCGAGCGCAGAGCAGCCAGTTTTTTCCAAGAGAGTGAATGCGGCTTCTCGGACGTCCACATAGGTGCTTGTGAGGGAGAGGATGAGTTTGTGGAAGAGAGCGCGATCGACGACTCTGATCTCGAATGGAAAACTGGACGACGGCTTCTTGAGAAGACTTGCTTGATCATTGTGATGAAGTGATGGTAAGGAGGATTTCGTGAGCGGCTGATAGCGCGGATCGAGTCCAGTGTTCAGTAGGATCTGGAGATATGTTAAGGAGGCCATTTGACATCGATAGGGCGAAGAGATCGTCAAGTTACTCCGACATAATCTCATGAACTTCTCGATGAAGGTCTTTACCGCTTGAAGATAACCCTCAGCTTCAACAATCAAGATCTGCAGTTGCGTGGCTTCAAGACCGTTCACAGCCGTAGTTGTCTCAATGGCACCCACATGATTATTACTCTGATTCAGATTAGACTTTTTATTGATCAATTCTCCCAATTTCTTATTCGAAGAAGTCGAAGAATCTCTGAGTCTATTGAAGAGTGCGTTCAAATTACTGAAGATGTTTTGTTTCAATTCAGCCTCGACTTCGCCGAAATTCCAGACGAAGAACTGAAAGATCAAATCTAAATGAGGGAGAGGTAGGGGCGAGGTCGGGGCGGTAGATTGGCAGATGATAGCTAGAGCGGAGGATCGGAGAGATACGGAGGGATGAGACAGCGCGACTTTGAGCAGATCATCGGGGAGCCAAGGGTCAACATGGTTCCGATCTTTTTGGTGAGGGCCACTCTGGCGAGGATTGAGCCGGGCTAGGGCGATGATTCCTGAAAGATGATCGAACGCGTTCTTTGCAATGCTGATCTTTTGAAAGCGTGGTCCACTGATCAACGAGAGCCTCTCGGCCAATTCCATAAAACATACAGGCCGAGTCTTGAATAAAGGTAGTAGATAATATTGGCATAGATATTGTCGTTTACGTTCCTCAGATGAAAACAAGATCGAGAAGACGGTCGAGATCCAATCTGAACTGAGGTTTGCAGAATCAGCGGTTGTTTTGGAGTCTTTCGAATCCCATCCTTCAACTTTTGTCGTCCAATGTACGGCCAATTGACCAATGACCGAAGCCAATTTGTCGTCGCCGATAGAGCCTAGAATGGTACCCAGGAATTCTGCAGGACCGGCAGCAAATAACTGGAAGGCCTGCAGGGCATCCTCCAAGGACAGGTGAGGTAGAAGGTATGATAAGATGGATAGTGAGCGTTTTTCGAGTAGGATGGATTGCTTGACGGACTCCAAGAAGAATTGGACAGATGAAGACTGGGGAAGATTGATACGAGAGTGGTTCATGTATTCGAACAAGTTCTTGAGGGCATTCTTGATCTTGTAGGAGATCGTTGGAGAGGGTGCGTTCCAATGGGCCCAGATTGCTTGACTGATTTGGCGCAGGTTCTCGGGTGGAAGGATGCTAGGATTGGGATTGGCAGCTTGGTTTCCCTGCAAGTGGTTCCGCTTGGTGGATTTCAATTTTCCGGAAGACGAGATTGATGACCTCGAGTGCCAAGGCGACTTCCTCATTCCTACTCCCAGCTCGATGGTCTGCTATTGTTTCGATCGGGTCTTTGGTGCTCGACTGTTGGCCCTCTTCTTGAAGGAGGACTGCAAGGGCGGGAGAAGTTAGCTGAGTGGGATCATGACTAACATATCCTTGGGTGAGTAAATTCTGGGCGTTGATGGTACCAAGATCCGGGTTGATTGTCTGATGGATTGCACTTACATTCTCTCAGCAATACTTAGATGACTGGCTTCCCCATCCTTTGCACTACAGTCATCAGAACGGGGCTTGGCTTGAGGTTGAGTTAATTGAGCCTTCAGTTCCTCCAGGACTTTAATATGTGGTGTGGTCTTGATCATCATTTCTCTGCATCACCGAAAAAGGAACGTTGAAGCAGTCAGTTTCTATTGGAGGAGAAATAATGTACACTTGAGTTGGACTCACTTTCAATCCATCCACAAAATCTGAGTTGGAATATGTTGCCTGCTTCATTCACAACTTCTTGGTCTTTCTTCAACTTCAAGAGGCCAAGAATGCAACAAATTGCATATTCATTTTGAATTTGCGCAGCAGACTGCCGATCATGCGATCGGAACGCAGCAGAACGCAGCCAGCTGCATCTCTTTCAACTCTTCCACTTTCCAGGCAGCTGATTATAAAGTGTTGCGGATTTCAGAATCGAGGTTTAAGCTTAGCCGATCGACAAGTTGTACGCCTCATTCCCGACGCTTTTTGTCTTCCGAACCAGCTAGAGGAAGTCTTGATAGTAAAGCGAGCCAAATAGATTCCAATCATTCATGTCTGTCACCGTTTTTTCGCGGTAATACCCGGGTCAAATCCCTACCTACCGGTCTCCGCAGCATCCCTGTCATCGTCTAGTGGTTAGGACACCAGGTTTTGAAGCACCCTTCTGGGCCTGAATCATCCGTGTCCTGGTAACTTGGGTTCGACTCCCAATGACAGGTCAAGCCTTCACTTTTAGTCTCCTCCCTCCCAAGGGAGTCCCGTATTTTTGTCCCGGCGGTTGCCCAACGAATCCAACGTGCGTCTCACTGTTTTTTAAGAGCTCTTTTGTGGTGGACATCATGCATACAAACGGGCTCAAGTTTTTTTTTTTTTTTTTTTCAAGTGGGACTTGGTTATACGAAGATAGGAAACTATGCATTGTTGTTCCAAACATCATTCTTGGGATCACAAAGGAAACTTATTGACGAGTGAACCTGTTGTGTGAAAGCATCGAAGATGTGACAATAACATGAGGACATATGGCCGCTTTTCAAAAGAAGGCTTTGAGCGCCAAGTCGAGCGAGCTCGCGACAATTCCATATCCTGATTCCTGACCGTTCTCAACCGCTTGATGTCTTGATTTCCAGCCGGACAGGATTGAAGCTTCGGGATTACAATACATAGGCGTGACCAGACTTGCTTTCAGTGACAGTCTGTTGATTGAAATTTGTGCGCCATATCATGGCCTAAGCGGTCGATGACATCGGGATCTCGCTAACGAGACTTATTTAGGGGTTGGGTGGGTAACGGCTGGCTTCCTCGAGTCGTACGTGGAGAGAATGACTTAAGTTACACTGATGACCGACATGCCATCATAGAATTCCAAATTAACTGGTGAAAGGCTCCAGCTCATTCAACCCACTTCATTTCAGATCTCGTGTTCATATCAATCGCGGCTCGAATGGATCTCATCGCACGAAGATTTCCATGAAGAAGGCGTCAATTAAAACCTGCCGGCAGCTTCCGCTGGAGTCATTTCCCGCAATCGTTTATGTCTGTATAACTGATCGGTAAAGCCTTAGCACTCCAGCGCGCATACATGCAGGTGGCCACATATTGCTCGGGGCACCGATAAGGCGACTATATTCCTAATATTGCTTCTCGGCCAGTTTCAGTCTGGCTCCCTGAAACCGACAGAATGTCTCTCCAGATAATTGTTCGAATTGCCGGGTTCACAGAGACCAGTAAGATGGAAATGCCCCACTCATATCCGATTCCGTTAGTCCTAGTAGCCACTGGAGTGAAAGCCTTCAACACTTGCTGACACCGGACGGATGAAGCTATCACAAATAATCCTGCCACTGATCAGCTTGTTGCTGCAAGGCCATCATGGTATGCAACCCGCTGACGAGGCCGCTCATGTCCGAAGAGTTGTCGAGCACTTGATCCCACACACATCTGGACAAACGGGTAAATGTCAATCCCTTTCCCCCCCTGCTTCCTTCGAGAATCCTTTTTTTTCATCTTTCGGTGACTGTCCAGTTCTGGCGGATTGATTTTTAGAGACCCGATTTGATCCAGAGTTGCAATCTGTCTTTACTCCCAGTGCCCAGCAAGGTTAGTCGGAAGAAGAACTCCTTCGCTTATCACGAATCCCAGTGTCCAATAGAAGCCACAGACGACTGAAAAACGAGTTCTCATCTTTCTATGATGGTCTAGTTGGGCATTCCAACGGTGGCCATATTGTGATAGACGTTATTGGCGATAGTTCCCGGTCGATCACAAGCCCAGCCGATTTTCGTCAGCTGGATTTCGAGACAGGAGCTCATGCAGAAGCCCAGGAGACTCCTGCCCACCAGAGTGAGTCTTGGTTCCTTTTCCCTCCTCCACTCTTCTGTCTATGAAGCTGTGGACCGTTGAATCCTGGAGAGGTTTGAATAACCGAGTGATTGTATCGAAACACTCTGAGAAAGTCGTCAGCTTTGCGGAAAGAAGTGGCCTCAATCAAAGAACTGTTCAAGTGAGCGGCGCAAACCGGGAAAAAGCAAGCCACCCTGATCATATCTCCTCTAATGTGAGACTCAGCATGGTAAACCCTCGGACCCAGAATAGAGCCCAATCTACCACTGTTGGTGAGCACACATTAAGCAAATCTTCTCTCAAGTCCAAGCACTTTATAACCTAATTTTAATACGATCACAGGTCAGCCAATCAGCCAAATTCCTGAAGCACACGTTTGGAGAGCGTTGGCGATTTTTGTTTGTTTTATTTCAATGATAATCCCATTCAATATGTTGATGGGGCAAATGTGATCATGATCTGACACATGTAAAACCAACCAGCAAAGCATTTCGCATTTTCAATTTTCAAAGAAAACCCAACAAGAATGATTGGCTGTCTACCAAATGAGCATCTTTTCTGCAACTCTATGTAATTACATCAAAAAACGACTTTCTAAAACAAACCAAATAAATTCTACAGGCTGATCACTGATTTTTTTTAAAGTGCAAGAGGTGCGTATGTGCGTATAAATGAGAAAGATTGAGAAACTACATGAACAGAAGCAGGCTGCCTAATAAGGAAAAAAGGACGATTTAACAACGATAAAAAAAGTATCTCAAGAAGAAAGTAACTGATTCTTGAGAGAGATCCAATCAGCACTAGATTCACACATCTTCCTGAACCGACTGTTAGTGTCCTGAATCAACTCTTTAGGAGAGCCTGATTCAATGATCCGACCTTCCTCCAAGATTATCAGCTTATCGTAGTCTATTGTTTATACCAATCAAAACGGAGGAAAAAGTAGACATATGGATGAGGAGATTGGATTTTATGCCAAGAGGATCAAGAAGTAACAGAAAGGGGACGAACCGATGACAGTGAACAACCGATGAGCAATAGTTATCACCATTGAATCACTCATACACTCTCTGATAGTTGATTGAATCTAAACCAAACAAGAGTCTCAGCAAGCTCCAGAAGGATGTGAGGGAGGGGAAGAGCTGAAGAAGAGTGGAGACTGACCAAAAAATCAGTTGCGAAATCGATTGATGCAGTTGCTTCATCAAGAATTATGACTTTTGTGCTCCTTAACATTGCCCTAGCCAGTGCCAACATCTGTCGTTGGCCGACACTGAAGCTCTTCCCGCCCTCACTGAGCTTCATGTCCAGCGACTTGAGCGCAATCCTAGCCGGCTGGGCCAGAGCTTTGGCCGGATTACTATCACTCTCTTCCCCCTCTTTCGCCGCTGGTGCTGCTCCCGTTGATACTGGCTCATGCGCTCCAAAGATTGCCGTTGTACTAGCGAGACCACAGCTTCTCAACACTTCCCAGCATTCCTCATCGCTGTGAATGTGCAAGGGATCTAGATTGTCTCGGACAGTCCCTTCAAATAGTGTCACATCCTGACTGACAATTGTCTAATAAACCAACACCACCATCAGAAACTCTCGTTAAACTTTTGTTTTCTTCAAATCCTCCATAGTATCAACCAAGAATGAAAAATAAAGTGAAATCACTTCACCCACAATACGCGTCCTTAAATCTTCTAAACCTATTCGACTAATGTCAATCCCATCCAGGATTATCCTACCTCCTGTGGCTTCAAGAATCCTCAGCAAGGACATTGCCAATGTGGATTTTCCTGGATCAAGGAAAAACAATGAGCGGGAAAATCACCAGTGTTTTATTGGTTGGGAAGATGCAATTGAGAACTCACCAGATCCGGTTCGACCAATGATTCCGACTAGGATTACCAACACAACATAGGGAAAAGGATGTAAGTCAATCATCAGGAAAAATTGAATGGACCCAGAGATAAAACTGTCCCACCTTTTTCTCTGGGTTTAATTTCAAATGAGATCGATTTAAGAGCCGCCGGTAAGTGATCAGCGTATTTGACGACCAAATCTTCAACAATCAAGCCCGACGAATCGGAGGGCCAATACGCGGGTGGTCTGCAGCTATCAATGATGGATGGTGCTTCCTGAGGAATCTTTAAATATTCCGTGATTCGTTCAACAGCTATCAAAGAAGAAAATACACAGCCATTCAGGATCATTAATTCAAACATTTGGAAAATTTCTTTAAAAGGAGATATCAATGTTGGCTTACCATTAAAATCTAATTCTAATTGTGCAAAGACTGAAACTAATGATCTAGTAGCTTGAGCAAAGATTTCGGCTTGTACCACACTGATTGCTGCAAATCCTTCGCTAACTCCAGACAAGAGTGCAAAAGAGGTGGTCAAGAAGACGACGACTGATCCTAAACCTACCAACAAAAATATCTTCTCAATCAGCATCTTCTTCTTCGCTTGTTCATATGTTTACTTACAATCATATCGCCACATTAACCAAAAATTTGTCAACCAATAATGATGGTCCATTGCTGTTTTCCAAATGTAAAAAAAAAAACAGTGGTTAATGATGGACGTCGCAGGATGTGTTTGGGAATCATTGGAAGACCTGAACTGACTTTGAAAAGTATCACATGAACTGAAGAAAAGATTTTGATATCGATCTTCAGCAGCATAAGCACGAATGGATTGAATCCCAAACAAGAGCTGTACATAAATGTGGAAAAAGAAGCTTCAGTCAATATCAAACAGACAAAGAAAATCTTGATAAGGTGTCTGATGATCCATAAGAGATTGGAATTCTTACATTGGAGAAATTTTGGAACATGGGAGACCTCGATACTGATTCCAAGCGCCTCAAATCTCTGGAAGTTTTGATATAATTAGGGCCCAATCGAATATACAACCAGGCGATGAACAGTGCAAATGGGGTGAACGTGGGGACGACCAAGATGATAACGATGAAGGAGATGAGAAAAGCGATTGTTCCTGGATTTTGCACACAAAACCAAGCAAGATCAACTTGATTGCTGTCACTTGGGTATGTCTAGCAAAATGTTCAGTCAGTCTCTTACCTCGGATTGCTCCAACAGAAGTCTCATGTAGAGCGAAATCTACAGTGTCTATATCTGAGACTAATCTGTTCAAAATCCTTCCAGTCTGAAATCAGGATATAACGTGGGTCAGCACATATGAGCATAGCCCTCCCTTATGATAAATCAAATTAAGAAAAGTGTGCTCACCGGCGTAACATCATACCTAATTGATAATTCAACGCAAAATATAATCAATGAGCACTCTTTTACCAACCCCAAAGAATGTTTCCAAAAAGCTCTTACCATCGAGTGGGTGCCCTGACAATACGTCCCAACATAGCCAAA